CGGTTAAGGCAGTGGAGAACTTTCAAAGGGAAATTAACAGGAAATAACTGACAAATGACATCTATTAAACATGGCACGTGGAACTAGAACAGCCTACCCCAGTGAGCGAAATCAATTCAATATTCCAACCACCTGAAGAAGGCCGGAACGTACAACGCCCGAAACGTTGTAATAAATATGTCGACAAAGATGAGGACAACAGTCCGAATAATGTAAATAGTGTACATAATACCACATCTCAGAAATATTGATAGATAATGAAGGGCCGATAAGTTGCAATAAATATGTCGACAAAGATGAGGACAATAGTCCGAATAATGTAAAGAGTGTACATAATACCTCATCTCAGAAATATAGATAGATAATGAAGGGCCGATACGTTGTAATAAATATGTCGACAAAGATGAGGACAATAGTCCGAATAATGTAAATAGTGTACATAATACCTCATCTCAGAAATATAGATAGATAATGAAGGGCCGATACGTTGTAATAAATATGTTGATAAAGATGAGGACAATAGTCCGAATAATGTAAATAGTGTACATAATACCTCATCTCAGAAATATAGATAGATAATGAAGGGCCGATACGTTGTAATAAATATGTCGACAAAGATGAGGACAATAGTCCGAATAATGTAAATAGTGTACATAATACATCATCTCAGAAATATAGACAGATACTGAAAGGCCGAAACGTTGTGATAAATATGGCAACAAAGATGAGGACAATAGTCCGAATAATGTAAATAGTGTACATAATACCTCATCTCAGAAATATAGACAGATACTGAAAGGCCGAAACGTTCTTATAAATATGGCAACAAAGATGAGGACAATAGTCCGAATAATGTAAATAGTGCACATAATACCTCATCTCAGAAATATAGACAGATACTGAAAGGCCGAAACGTTGTAATAAATATGGCAACAAAGATGAGGACAATAGTCCGAATAATGTAAATAGGTATACGTACATGCTTACAAATCTGAATCTGAACAAAACTAACAATGAAACCTGTATTCGAACACTGTTAAAGCTTTATCATAAATAAAAATGGGGTAATTAAGCAACCTAAAATAGTTTCAGGGTCATCGTGAAAATGTTACTGTTATAGAAGAATAAAGTACCACTGCCGACACTTGATTTTGAACATAGACCGCCAGTGAGCAAACACAGGCGATCCCATTATTGAATTAATAGACTACGTGACCATGGGGGAAACGCATATATGTCGGAAGTAGCTGACGATTAACGATCTTTATTTCAAGTCTATCCTCTATTACTATACGGACCTCTATTCTCTACTCTATTCACTATACTATTTCTATATTCGTATCACTATATCTGAGCGAGTATTATCGAGCACGTACTATTAGTGTGAGTGATATTCGAAGGCGTCTGGCACCAGTATTGTTCAACGGCGTACTATAGTTGTAACTGCGATTACAAAGTCTCTACTATAATTAGCATTACAAAAGTGCCAAACGAGTATTCGTTGACATTACAATGGTTACATATACGTCAGTACTGATAGATCGATTATGGTGATGTTGATGAAGTTGGGCACCAGCGAAATCCTTTCCCAAAGTGGCGTTTCACTCAAAATTTCTTCACGAAAAACAAAAATGGTAAGTCAAAGCGAACCCAGTGGTGACTCGAAAGGACTTCACAGATGATTTATGAACAGCTGGAACATCAGTGACTTATAATGTACTATTAGTTATGAAATATATAGGAATTGTTTAAAATCGGGTATATATATATATATATATATATATATATATATATATATATATATATTATAATATTTTTTTAAAAATATGCTTCCTTCGCTACATAAGAGTTCTCATGTTTCAAAAACGAGAGCCGAAATCATCCAAATAATTATTAAAATTAAGTTGAATTTAGGTGTTTAGTCTCGTTTCATCTTCAAGCGAAATTTTAGGAATAGGCTATCTCTTGGTTTACGTGTGTTTTTAGGCATGGTTCGTTATGACATTCGTTACTGTGGGAGTGGCTAGGCGAGTTAACTTCGTTAAGTGGTCAGAGAGTTAATTCTTATCTATAGATTCATCATCTTCTGGGAGGTTTTGCTAAGGTTGGGTAGGGTATCTATTTCAAGGCTAATGTTGGCGGTCATCCTCTAGTTAGTTCCCAGTGAGGGATATTTTTATGGCGCGCCTACAATCGTTATGTGTCTGAGGAATTGTCTTTTATTATTGTCTATCTGATTATCTTTTTATTTATTTGTTTATTCAAGTGGGTGTTTTATATACAAACCGTATTACACTGAATTTCAATTTGTTTTTTGACGACTACAGAAAGGGTTTTTCCTATTTAATGATTTGGCTAAGCTTTTTTATTGAACTATGGGATTTTTTTGTGTGTGTGCAAATTATTTAATACGAAAATTTGTTGATGTCGGCAAAAAACCGTTAATTCCTGCGTATGGTTTATTGTCATCAACAAGACAGACTGTTTCGCTGCATCACAACTCATCCGTGTGGCTAGACGTCCGGTTGCCATCTAGCTAGGATCGCAACCCGGCAGAATTTGCGTCAGTCGGAGAATCTACCCTAAGCCGTTGATGCACGGCAGGAATGAAGGTGAACTTAAACGTATTTATTTTTAGATAAAGACGCCAGAAAACTAAAAATTTCACTACCTAGTAACATGTATAACATAAGATATATATATATATATATATATATATATATATATGAATATATAAAATAGAAAAAAAAAAAAACAAAAATCTTAATTTGCAATTATGCTGTATTAATGTTAATATAAAGTCGACGTCGGACGTTTCGGTCTATTTAAGACCATCTTCATAGACATTTTCATTTAAACATAATGAACATTAGAACATATAAAAATTCAACACGAAAAGACGATGGACATAAGAGCACAACTAATTCAAACAGATAACTGAAATTTTAATCTAAGATCAGCGTTCCGTTTAAATATAATCACGTCGTCGTCACGTGGGCGATGTTGTGAAAACGTATTCGAAGATGATTTCCAAATATTAAAATATTAAAAAAGTCGATTGAACTATTTTATATAAACAGTTCAAGAAATCCCTTCCGTTGATATATGAATACGCAAAGATCAATAGGTTATTATATCTTCATACAAGCTTGAAGTCCTCCACGTCACAAAGCAAATCAAATGTTTAAATGAAAATGTCCATGAAGATGGTCTTAAATAGACCGAAACGTCCGACGTCGACTTTATATTAAATTTAATACAGCATAATTGCATATTAAGATTTTTGTTTGTTTTTTTCTGTATTTTTCTTCATATTGTCGGATCTATATCCATATATTTGCTTACATATATATATATATATATATATATATATATATGTGTGTGTGTGTGTGCGTGCGTGTGTGCGTGTGTGTGTATGTGTGTGTGTGTGTGTGAACTGAATGGGTTCCCAATGTCCCCATGATTGTTCGTTTTCGACGAATGCGTTGGCCATTTAGAAGGATTTTCGTTGCTCCATTGTAAATATGATCTTTGATGATTTTTCTCAACCAAACATATCTGCTCACGAAAGGTATCTCAATTTAAACAATGACAACATATAATGAAATGGGTCAAATCTTACGATATGTATAAAGTGACAATATATTAAATAATTGTCGAACTTAATCCATTTCATTATATGTTGTCATTGTTTATATGGAGATACGTTTCGTGAGCAGAATGATCGATCGAGAAAAATTGTCGAAGATTATGTTTATAAATAGTAATTTGGAATTTGCTGACCAGACTCTTCTCTGTAGCTAAATGATATAGCACGTCAGATCAAATGATATTTTCCGTATAGGAATACGGGTTCGATTCCTGTTGGAGAACGCATATATATATATATATATATATATATATATATGTTCGAACTGATTAAACTCGAGACATGTTTGTGTGATTAACTCGGTAAACACTTTTCGATTTTAGGTCGTGCATACATACGTACATAAATACATTCATACATACCTACATAGATACATACCTAACCAATCCCTACACTTATGTGTACCTGTGTGTGTATGTACATATACACATACTTATACGTACTTGTATGTGTAGAGACATATACAACCACAGTTACATACATACATGCATACATACATACATATATATATATATATGTGTGTGTGTGTGTGTGTGTGTGTGTGTATGTGTGTGTTTATGTGTTATATAACATAAAACGTTGTTTCTCTTAATTTCTCTAACACTTGAAGGGATGGAAAAAAAGTCACTACTTTCCTTTTATTTTTGCGTTTTACTGCAAAACCTTAATTAGACTAAATCCCATTTTCGGGATATTTGCAAATGAGGTGTGGGGGAGGGATTTGGAGAATGAAGATTAAAAAATATTAAACTTTTTTTATTTTCGATTTTGCTTGTTTGCTGTTTCCACTTTTTTATGCTTTTTTGGTAATTTTTAATTTTTTTTTCTTTCTTGATTTTTTGTATTTTTTTACTTTTTTTTCTGTTTCAAGTAATTTTTATTTTAATCTTTAATTCATTTGATAGTTTTAATTTCCAACATCTCAAAGTTTTATTTCTCTTCTACGGCCAACTAGTTCGCTTAATTAATTGTCTCTAATTAAGATGATTGCTGTGTGCAAACGTTGCTGATTTTTTTTCTTTATTTAGTCTGTTTTCATTTCCTCATTTTTATTTATTTTTATATCAATTTCTTTGTGTGTGTGTGTTGTGTTGTGTGTGTGTGTGTGTGTGTGTGTGTGTGTGTGTGTGTGTGTGTGTGTGTGTGTGTGTGTGTGTGTGTGTGTGTGTGTGTGTGTGTGTGTGTGTTGTGTGTGTCCCTGTGTGACGAAATTTTCTTATTTGTCCTTCATTTGTTTTTCGCAATTTCTCTGTTGTTTTTCTTCTTGTTTTCTGGGGAACTTTTTTCACAAGGAAGGAATCCTTTCTTGAAATTCTTTCCTTTTCGAAATTAAGTTCTTTCTCGATTTTTGATGTTCTTGGCCTCTTCTTACCGTTTTTGTTTCTTACCTTTATCTATCTTATTTTTGTCTTTTTTTTCTTTGTGTTTTTCTTTTTTTTTCAATTTTCTTTATTCCTTTTTCTTTCTTCCCTTTTTCTTCTTTATTTTTTTCATTTTTATTCCTTTTTTTCGTTTTTTTATTCTTTTTTCTTATTTCTCTTTTCCTTCTTTATTTCTGTCTTTTTTTTCATTTTTCATCTTTTTTTTTAATATTTTCTTTCTTAACTTTTCTCTTTCTTGCTTGTTTCCTTTTTTCTTTCTCGTGTCTTTTTTTTCTTGCTCCCTTTCTCTTTTTGAACTTTTCTCTCTCTTGCTTTTTTTAGCCTTTATTCTTTGTTTTCTTTCGTTGCTTGCATCTTTTTCTTTCTTTCTGGCTTACATTTTCCTTTTATTTTTGGTCTACAATGTATATCTATGTTCTTTCTTTCGATGTTATTTCCTTCTTTTTTCCATACTTTTCTTCATCCACGTGTTTTCTTTTCTCTGTATACCTTTTCAAATTTTCCCTTTTTCTCATTTTCTCCTTCCTCGCCGTCTCCTTTTCTCTTTTCTTTCTCTTCAGTTTTTGCTTTTGTATGATATTCCGACTTCAATCATTTATTTTTCATATTCATATTCTTTTTCTTCCGTTTCATTTCCTTCATTCTTTCTGAATATAATTCTCATTCATTTTTGCTTTGCCTTCATTCCTTACTTTTTCCTTTTATTATTTATGAATGCCATACTTTTTTCTCTTTCTTTATGTCTTTCCTTTTTTCATTCTCATTTCTTTTTCTCTTTATTTCATCGTAGTTTTTTCTATATCCTTTTATCTTTCCCTCCACTTTTCTTTCTATCTCTTCACTTTATTTTATGTTTCCTTCAATTGATCTAATTTTCTCTTTCAATTTTGCTTTGTACGGTTTTCTTTCCTTTTACTCTTTGCTAGAATTTTCTTATTTTGCAATTAAGTCCTTTTCGTTTTTCGTGGTTTCCCAAATTGTTTCCAAATTTTCTTTTTAATCAACTTTTCTAAGAGGTTTTATTTTTTTTCCTCCTTTTTTCTTTCGTTCTTTTTTTTATAAGTATTTCTCCCAAGTTGTTATTCTTGAAGGCTTTTTCTTGTTTTAAGTTTTTCGTTTGTTTCTTGGTCTTTCATCATTTTCCATATTGTTTCTTTCTATCTTACATATATCTTTTTCCTTTATTTCATTCTTTCATTTCCCTGTTTCTCTCTTTCATTCATTTATTCTTCCACTATTTCCTTTTCTTTTCTTTTCTTTTTGTTGTATTTTACAATATTAGCTATTTGACTATTTTCTTTCATTCATTTTGCCTCCTTTTCATCATTTCGTCCACTTTTCTATTTTCTTGTCTTTCTTTCTTTCTTTCTTTCTTTCTTTCTTTCTTTCTTTATTATATTTATTTATTTTCTTGTGTCTTTTTTTTTTTTTCTTTCATTCTTTCTTTCATTCATTCATCCAGCCTCTTGCGTAATAATGTTTTCCTTTCTTTACACAGGGGCATCAGAAACGAACCGTGATCCAAAGTTTTAAAATTTGATCACGTTCTTCATATAAAAATTAGAAAGAATATATATATATATATATATATATATATATATATATATGTGTGTGTGTGTGTGTGTACGTGCGTGTGTCTGTGTTCGTGTGTGTTTTGGTAATTGAATTATACACACACACACACAAGATATATATATATATATATATATATATATATATATATATATATATATATATATATATATGCGTACATTCAAATGAGAAATACTTCAAAAATAAAGTAATCGAAGTTTATGCTCGTTCATACGTAGATACGATGTTTTTTGTTGTTGTTGTTTTTTGTTGTTTTTTTTTGTTTTTGTCTTTTTTTTTCAGTAATATACCTATTTAATATACCTATTTAATATACGTCGGTATTAATTAGCGTGAAATGATGATTAAAGTTTTTCAGGGGTGGGGTAGATCTTTGCCACGAAATGGAAAAATACGACAAAATAAACTTGTAATCAACACACACACATGCAAACACACATACACACACACACACATACATATATAGCCATACACATGTTGTTGAACTCACTTTCATACAAACACATACTCATTCCTCCACATACGCATATATATATATATATATGTATATATACGCATTTTATGAATGTATATGGAAAGTATATATATATTGATTCGTTTTTAATTTATACATTCTTGGCTTTATTATCTTTGCGTTTGTATCCCTTTTAGGTTTTTTTTTCCTTTTCTTGTGTTTATTAAGGAATCAGTTAATTTCTGATATATTTATATGGGAGAAAAAATGTTATTAAGTCTTGAAATTAGAAGCAAAAAAAAAACAATATAGAAGCTTAACAAACACTGAAATTAAATGAAAGCAATTAATATAATAATCTGGAAAAAAAATGCAGAAATACAAATAGTAAGAGAAATAACACGATATCATTTTAAAAAATAAACGAAGCAAAAGTGAACGAAACGCCTATGCCCACTTGTATACATGCTTTTGGGAGGATGCTCGTTTTTTTGTTTTTCTTTTTTCTTTTCTTAACAAATCGATCCACGTCAAGATGGCGTCGGTTTCTGGTATTTGAATGAACATCAAATCAATTTATGCCTAAATTATAAACTTTACCGGTTTACTAATAATTAATAACTTGAGGTACCAGCAAAAATTCCAGGCTGTATATTTGCAATTAATGCGTTATATGAAAAAGTAATTCATCTATTTTAATTAGAGAAAAACAAAAATTAAATTATTTACATTTATAAAGGGAGGTTTTTATTCATTTACGAAATTGTATATTGATCACAAAGATGTGATAATCCTTAATTTCTCTGGACATTTCCTACAGCAAATTATTTATTGGCCTTCTCTTCATCTTTTCACTTTGATCCCTTGAATTCAAATTATATAAGTACACGCCATGCATATCGAAATAGAGTTCATTCTTTGTAAAAAAAAATATTTTCTACCACTGACTTGTTATTTTTCGATGCAGGATCTTATTACTTTAACTTTTATATTAACACTTTCGCCGCGCGGAAAAAAAAGTACGAAAAATTGTCGGTAGCTAAATTTGATTAAGACTAGTGTGAAGAAAGTTATGGAACATAAATATTATCGTTGTGCCAATGATTGTGAGAGTTATGTGGACTATTGAGAAAAAAAAACCTATGCAGAAATGCTGGTAGAACCGTCAAAACGCCATTTTTGATTTAAACTAAATTACTAAAGAGACATGTTGTCACATGACATCCAGTAAAAGCCACCATAAAAAAAGTGGTATGAAGACTCAAAAACAATGCACATCTTTTGATTAAATCTATTTGACTTTTTCACTCAATCTCTCTCTCACTCTCTCCCTACTATTTCTTTTCTCTCTCTCTCTCTCTCTCTCTCTCCCTGCTTTTATACATCCTTGCCAACCGAAAAAGTCCGTTATACTATTATCAATAGATAGAGAGACAGACTGAGATAGATGAGATAGATAGATAGATAGATAGATAGATACGAAAAGATAGATAGATAGATAGATAGATAGATAGATAGATAGATGAAAAAGACATAGATAGATAGATAGATAGATACGAAAAGACATAGATAGATAGATAGATATGAATAGGTTGAGATACATATGAATAGGCTAAGATAGATACATACATACATACATATATACATAGATACATAGATAAATATGAATAGATCGATAGATAGATAGATAGAATTGAAAAGACATAGATAGATAGATAGATAGATAGATAGATAGATAGGTAGATAGATATGAATAGGTTGAGATACATATGAATAGGCTAAGATAGATACATACATACATACATACATACACACATATATACATGGATACATAGATAAATATGAATAGATAGATAGATAGAAATGAAAAGACATAGATAGATAGATAGATAGATAGATAGATATGAATAGGCTGAGATACATATGAATATGCTGATAGATACATACATACATACATGCATACATACATACATATGAACAGGTTGAATAGATAGATAGATATGAACAGGCTGATTAGATACATAGATAGATAAATAGATAGATAGATAGATAGATAGATAGATATGAATAGGTTGAGATACATATGAATAGGCTAAGATAGATAGATACATACATACATACACACATATATACATAGATACATAGATAAATATGAATAGATAGATAGATAGAAACGAAAAGACATAGATAGATAGATAGATAGATAGATAGATAGATAGATAGATAGATAGATAGATATGAATAGGCTGAGATACATATGAATAGGCTGATAGATACATACATACATACATGCATACATACATACATATGAACAGGTTGAATAGATAGATAGATATGAACAGGCTGATTAGATAGATAGATAGATAGATAGATAGATAGATAGATAGATAGATAGATATGAACACGGTGAATAGATAGATATGAATAAGCTAAGATAGATCAATATATCCCTATGAGAAGTTTGATCTAGATAAAAAGAATACCATATCACTGCCTTCATTGTCTCGCAGTCCACTGAAATTTCTACATTTAAAAGAAGCACGATAAATGTGACCAATTGTCGAAGTGCCCTTCGACGAAAAAAAAACAGTCAATCGAACAATCAAATGCCATAGAAAATCCATTGGCTACCCAATCTTACTTTATGCTCCGTGAATATATCCTTCTATTAAGCATGTCTTAGGCTAACGTTTGAGAAAATTGTCTTTGCGACAGATATTGCATGTGCTCATATAATGCCATGTAATTGAATTTTGCAAAATTTATGTCGTTCAATGTCGTTGGAGCAAGAAGTCTGGAGCTTAACACTGATTTTGAATGTTGGTCTTTGTTCCATCGATGACATAACGGCAAAAATATTTTTAAATGCTAAATAAATATTTTTAAGTGCTAAATAAATATTTTTAAATGTTCAAGAAATATTTGTAAGTGCTAAATAAATATTTGCTCAAAGTTACTTAACGTAAATATATTTTTTCATCCCTAATAACAAAATTTGTTCTACAATTATATTTTTAAAATAATTCCCTTCCTTGTCAATACACTTAAGTCGGTGGGGAATTTTCATCAGAAAGATCGACTATTATACAATAAAAGATCCAAATCAAATTTCTGCACAACTTTCACTTCTCTAGGTCAGCTATCGTTGTGTAAACGGTTATTGCCAAAATATGTCAAGCTTTAGTAAGAATGGTGAAGCTCTGTTTGTTGCGTTAGATTATCTCGAAGATGGTTGACAAAGTTGGCATGCAAGTTGAAGGGTTATGCTGTTGGTGGCTGGTTTTATTTTTATTTGATTCATTTTTTCTTATTAATTCACGAAATGATAATTATCTTGAATGGCAACTCTTCTAAATCTTTTTTTTTTATATTAATGCAAATGTCTCCTAAACCAGATATAAACCCTACTTTGTTACTAATTTTCATCATCCCCTTTCCCGATGTCATCTCGACTACGTATTAATGATCAAGGCACAACTATTCACTAATGTCTTAATGGTAAGTCTGATACATTCGATAAAGTCAGATTGGAAGCTGATCTTGAAACTGAAATTCAATCGGTTGTTACCTGAGGCAAGAAATGGCTTTTAAATTTTAACGCTTCCCAAAACAAAACTGCAGTTTGTTAACAATCATAAGAACTTTTCATCGCCATTTTCCTTCCGTCATATAGGCGCAATGATTTACTGACGTTAGGAGAGTAACTAATCGCGCCATCTTGGTTTAATATTTCCCACAGACAGAAAATGGAAAGCTTCTGTTGAATTATTTTGTAGGATTGCTGAAAATAAAATTGATTTACTATGACATTCTAAACAATTTTATACAATAACACATTCGTCCATGCTCCCACAGGGTCTGGTACACCTTCTATGTATTTAGCTATCCTTGACAAAATTGAAGGAATTTTAACCTGATATTTCGGCTTCAGTCACACAACGACGAAATGAAGATCTCTGTGACTTTTCAGCAAATATTTTCAAGGTAACTGTTCTCATGATCTTTCGTCATTGGTCTCTGGACCACGAATTGAAGCGCAGTACTAGATTGGCAGCTAGGTCTCATCATTTTGCTATTGAAATGCTGGATATAACAGTAAATTCCATGTTAATAGTTTCTACCTCTGTCGCTCCACAATCGTTTCCACTCCAATATAACTCAACCATTTTTAAGGCTTATAATTCTGTCAGTCGAGGTCTATATTGGGGCATGTACGTAAAAATCTATTGTTATTACACACACACACACACACACACATACACATACACACACACACACACATATATATATATATATATATATATATGTATATATATATTTGTATGTATATATTTGTATATATATATATATAGAGAGAGAGAGAGAGAAATACACACAAACGTACATACGCACACATAGATTGTTCAACAAGTGGTTAACATTTTTATATGTATATATATAAAAATATATATGTATAGAATATATATATATATAGAATATATATATATATATATATATATATATATATAGGGGTGATGAGTAAATTGTCGTCATTTATATTTTTGATTTTGCGCATGCGCGTTATTTGTTTTTGATTTCGTCAACTGCGCAGTATAGTTGAATCAGTTGGGTACCGTATTAAAGAAAAAAAAGAGCCCCATAGCGTAGTTGACTCAGCCAGAAATTTGGAAACGGAATGCTTTACTGCTTGGAATTCGCGCTGGAACCTCCAATTTCAATGTTTTAGGGTGTCAATGTGAGTACAGTGCAGAGGATTCGGAAAGAGTTAGATGAGTTTAACGGTGATTACGAAGTTACAGTAGTACGGCTGATTATTCTGATAAGAAAAGAACTCCCGAATCTTTTGGTGAGGGTCTCTACTCAATACGGAGGCCTATGGGAAGTACCTTGAGGAGTTACTGCTGCCCTACGTCAAGAGAGTGGCTGCTTTAAGAGACTATATCTGGCAACAGGACTCTGCACCATGTGCAACATAGGGTTTTCCACTTCATCACCTCATCTTCGCACATATGCAGATTGCGATGGGTAAAATGTCGCCATTTTATATTTTTAATTTCGCGTAATCGTGTTGTTTTTTTTTTATTATTTTGTCGACTATACCGTTTAATCCGGTTAGTTTGGCACCGTCTGTGAGTAAAAGAGTACCATGATGCAATTCACTCTGACAGAAATTTAAAAACGTCGTTCTCTCCTGATTTCAGAACGATTGCGTGTCAATATGAGGACATTTTGGAGAATTCAGAAAGAGTTGGATGAGTCTAATGGCGATTACGAAGATACGGCAACTCGGAAAACTCACTCTGATCGTTTTGATATGGTGAGGGCTTCAGACTCAACACAGAGGTCTACATCAGTTAGTGCTGCCCTGGGTCAATAGGGTGGCTCCTAGAAGACCCTACATCTTGCAACAGGATTCTGCACCATGTCACACCAGCAGGAGGACCCAGACACGGCTGTCAAACAATTTCTGCGACCACATCACCCCTTACATCTGGCAACCTAACTCCACAGATTTCAACCGTTTTGATTATTATGCGTGGGGAGGAGTTGAACGAGAGACCAACAAATCTCCTTGTAACACCAAAGATAAACTGAAGGCAAATTAATCAAGGAGACCGTCCAGAAAAGTTGCTGGAGGTACCGAAGTCGTCTGGAGGCCGTCTTTGAAAGTTAATAGCGATTTTATTGAAAAAAATTTCCTCTTTAGTATTTAAAGATATTTTTGATTAATTTTGGTAAATATATGTGTTAAAATGAGGTGTCAGTATTATTTTCATTTTTGCGTAATACAAACGACAATTTATCGATCGCAACCGATATATGTAAGTGAATCTCTGTTGAGTGATATACATATAAACGCGTTCAGGAAAATTTCATTACAGATAGAATTTGCTTAAAGGAACGATCAGTTAGCTTATCTTTATACCCTGCCTGGTGGCAAATGCTGCTGGTGGCGCCAGGGGTGGCGGTTCCGCCATAGCCACCGAAACCGTGATATCACCCCTGGTCGGCGGCTGATGAAGACAGGGTATCGCACGTGCTAACACACGTTGTATGTTAAAAAAAAACCTTCTATGGTTTCTGCTATCATCTCTAATCTGGAACCCCACAAAGTATCTTGACCTTATGGTATCCCTGTATATTATCTCGACCTTATGGTATCCCTTTATTAGTCCTTAAGAAGTATTCTCCCGAACTGGTCCCAGATCTCTCTAAAGTGTATAGTAAATGTCTTGATGTCTGTTGCTTTCCAGCTTGTTGGAAATCCTCATCTGTTGTTCCATTTTTTAAGAACCCGAGTGAACCATCTGACCCTTCCAAGGATCTCCCTATTTTTGGGAAAATACTAGGGGCCCTAATCAAGGCTGAATCGCCTTCTTTGAGATAAGCAATATGTTTTTCGTTTCTCAAGGTCAACTGATGATGAACTGACGTTAATTGCAGAAAGAGTCTATCAACCTCACGATAAGAATGGTGAAGCTCAGATTTGGGCATCTTGAAAGCCTTCGACAGTGTTTTGGCATATAGGTCTTCTTGCAATTTGAAAAGTTGCGGTGTCTCGCTCAACTGCTCCCCACATATAGCAATCAAGGGGATTCAGTTTTTCTTATAAAATTGTGTAATGAACGTTATCCTGAAAGACCACTCTTCTAGATCCTTTTGTGCTAATGCGGGTGTCCCCCAGGGCTCTATCCTTGGTCCCACGTTGTTTTTAATTTTCATTAACGACCTTCTTTATGACATCAGCTCTCAACTTGGTATTTACATCTGTGACTCGATATTAAATCTGATCAGTTTAATAAGGTAAAAAAATGAAACTGATCTCAAACATTACCTACAGTCTGTTGTTAACTTGGACAAAGAAGCTAGTAAGAAATTTAGTTCACTGTGTTATGCTAGACATTTTTTTCTCTCCAGAATCTATCTTACATATCTATATGCCTATAATTTATCCATCTTAAGAATATTGCTGACACATATCGTCTGGTATTCCGGCTATATATCTAGAGATCCTAAATAAAAGCCAAAGAAGAATCAGCAATATTATTAGTCCTGATCTGGCATCAGTCTGTTTCATGCTAAACGCAATCGTCGGGGTTAGGGTTAGGGTTAGAATGAATAGCATGAAACACACTGTTGCTTAAAACTATATTTTATCATATAGATGTTTTTCGCCATTTATATCATTGACTTTACTAATGAACTTTTTGTATGAATGATTCATATATATATATATATATATATATATATATATATATAAATGGGGTCGGATCGCTGTCTCCCGAGACAAGACTCTGCGCTTCGACATAGCCTCGTCTGGGGATCCTCTCTGCTCGGTAGTAGAAAGTTTGACCAACACACTCGAAAGCCGTCTATGGTTGTTCTAGCACGAAGACAAAAGTCATCGTGACTGAGGGTTTGAGTGTAATGTTCAAACTTTTGATTTTACCAGATGAGACGCTCTCTCCCAGAAATCTAAGGCCCGCTCAGCATAGTTGCAGTATAAACAACAGGTTGGCTTTTTAGGTGTTGAACAAACACAAATCTGTCTGAGCAGGCGTCTGCAATAGGGATTATTTAACCACCAAAACAGATGGCTGTGCTCTGAAATGAGTAACCAGCC